GATAAATCTCCAGGACCTGATCCAGTGTATCCCAAGATGTTGTGGGAAGTTTGGGAGGAAATTGCGGACCCCTTGCAGAAATATATGTATCATGTATAACTATGGTGAGATGCTGGACGACTGGAGAGTGGCTAATGTTGTGCCTTTGTTTAAGGAGGGATGTAAGGAGAAGCCTGGGAACTGTAGACCTTAAAAATATGCCCGCTATCTTGAAAGCGTCCACCCTAGGGAAAAGACACCTTCCTTTCACTTTATCGATATCCTTCATCCTTTTCGGTGGTGGCTAAGTTGTTTGAGGTGATTCTGAAGGATAGGTTTTACATGCATTTGGATAGGCAAGGAATGATCAGGGATCGTCAGCATGGGTTTGAGCGAGCAAAATCATGTCTCACAAACTTGATTTAATTTTTTGGGGAAATAACCAAGAAGATTGATGAGGGCAGAGTGGTAGACTTGGATTGTTTGCTTGGACTTCAGTAAAGCCCTTGACAAGGTTCTGAATCGTAGACTAATTAGTAAAATTAGACCACATGGGATTCAGGGTGAGCTTGCCAATTGGATACAAAATTGGTTTAATGGCAGGAGACAGAGTGGTGGTGAAGGGTTGTTTTTTGGACTTGATCCTGTTACCAGTGTTCCACATGGATCGGTGCTGGGTCAACTTTTGTTTGTCATTTATATGAATGACTTATGTGAGAATATAGAAGGCATGGTTAGCAAGTTTGTGGATGACAACAGAATTGGTGGCATAGTTGACAGTGAAGAAGGTTTTCTAATATTACAAAGAGATCTTGATCAATTGGGTCAATTGGCTTAGGAGTCACAGATCAAGGTCAATTTGGATAAATGCCAGGTATTTCATTTTGCTAAAATAAACAAGGCCAGCATTTATACAATTAAAAGTAGAGCCTTGGGTAGTGCTTTAGAACGGAGACACCCAGGGGCTCAAGTACATAATTCTCAGAAGTTTGTATCACATGTAGACAGGGTGGTTAAGAAGGCATTTAGCACGCTTGCCTTCACTGCTTAGACCATGGACTATAGGAGTTGGGGCATCACGTTGAGGTTGTACACGATGTTGGTGAGGCTTCTTCTGGCGTACTGTGTCCAGTTCTGGTTGCCCTCTTATAGGAAGGATATTATTAAGCTGGAGAGGGTTCAGAAAAGATTCACCAGGGTGTTGCCAGGAATGGAAAGTTTGAGTTATAACAGGAGACTGGATAAGCTGGTACTTTTCTCACTGGAGTAGAGGAGGTTGAGGGGATGACCTTATAGAGGTTGTTAAATCATGAAGGAAATAACTAAGGTGAATGAAAGTGGCTTTTCCTAGGGTGGAGGCTTTCAAGATTAGCGGGTATATTTTTAAGGTGACAAGAGAAAGATTAAAAAAAGACATGAGGGACAACTTTGTTTTGCACAAAGAGTGGGTCGTGTGTGGAATGAACTTCCAGAGGAAATGTTAGATCCATGTACAATTACAATATTTAAAAGCCATTTGGATAAGTATATGAATAAGAAATGTTTGGAGGGACATAGGCCAAGTACAGGCAGGTGGGACTAGTTTAGTTTGGGATTATGGTTGGCATAGAATGGTTGGACCATTGAGGTCTGTTTCCATGCTGTATGACTGTATAACAACTTTTTATCAGTTAATAGCAGATTGGATGACACAAGATATTGTCTTAAAATGCAATCAGTGCAGCAAACAGACTAAACACAAGACTGACTAAACACTTTTTATTGCAATTTATACTATAAGAACACAACTTGTGGATAACAGTTGATAGAGCTAAAAACAGCATCAGGTATATACTACAATGTTCTTTAGTTGAAAGAAACAGGACACAACATACCTCTCAACCTAATAATGCTAGATGTATTATAAAGAATATGATAATTGGAAACTTAGATGAGGAAGAACTTCTTCACTTAGAGGATGGTGTATCTTGGGATTCTGTACCCGAGAGCTGTAGAGGCTGAGTCATAGCGTATTATTTAAAACAGGGACTAATAGATTTCTAGATAGTAAAGACAGAGGGATAACGGGACCATGCAGTATAATGGGCTGATAAGTCTGAATGTTTTCCAGGCCTTACTGCATTTGGACATGGGTTTCTTCAATATCTGTGGAGTCACAAGTGGTACCAAACATTGTGCAATCAGCAGCAAACATTCTCACTTCTGATCTTATGGTACAGGAAGCTCATTTATGAAGCAGCTGAAAATGGTTGGGCTTTGGACATTACCCTGAGGAATTTCTTGCCCTAAAAACATCTCTAACTTATGATAGGTCCATTGCTAGCAATATAAGACAAAAAAACCAAAATTAATTAAACAGTAAGAGCTCTAAAAAGGAAGCATAAAAAGAAATTGGCATCATAATGATCCTAAAAAAAAAAATCTGATTTAGCAGACATTCTGATTGGCAAGTTGAGATTTGTAAGGATCAATGTTTGGGCCTCAACTATTTCACGTATTTATTAATGAAGTAGGTATAAATATTAGCAACATTAGATATAGAAAGACAAATTATCAAAGATTGCCATTACTGAATTTCATTGAATTCAGTTTTGATAGGGCTCTTTGTTGCTACACTTAGTTAAATGCTGTTTCAATGTCAATGTCAAGGGGAGTTACCCTCACTGCCCTTCGAGTTCAGCTATTTCATCCATGTTTACTTAGAATTCTAGTAAATCTATTCTGTAATGCCTCACATACCCATATGTCTTACTTAAAATATGGTCCCACAATTACAATGTTTAAACACTGGAGATATGGTTAGTAAGTTTGCAGATGAAAGCAAAATTGGAGGCACGGTGGACAGCGAAGGTGGTTACCTCAGAATACAATGAGACCTTGATCAGATCGGCCAATGGGTCAAGCAGTGGCAGATGGAGTTCAATTTAGATAAATGTGAGGTGCTAGATTTTGGGCCAGGCAGGACTTATACACTTAATGGTAAGGTCCTGGGGAGTGTTGCTGAACAAAGAGACCTTGGAATGCAGGTTCATAGTTCCTTGGAAGTGGAGTTGCAGGTAGATAGGATCATGAATAAGGTGTTTGGTATGCTTGCCTTTGTTGGTCAGTGCATTGAGTATACGTGTTGGGAGGTCATGTTGCGGCTGTACAGCACATTGGTTCAGCCATAGGAAGGATGTTGTGAAACTGGAAAGAGTTCAGAAAAGATTTACGAGTGTGTTGCCAGGGTTGGAGGGTTTGACCTACAGGGAGAGGCTGAGTAGGCGAGGGCTATTTTCACTGGAGCGTCAGAGGCTGAGCGATTATCTCACAGAGGTTTATAAAATCATGAGGGAACTGGATAGGGTGAATAGCTAAGGTCTTTTCCCCAGGGTGTAATGGTCCCACAATTACAATGTTTAAACACTGGAGATATGGTTAGTAGATTTGCAGATGAAACTAAAGGGCATAGGTTTAAGGTGAGAGGGGAAGGATTTAAAAGGGACCTGAGTGGCAGCTTTTTCACGCAGAGGGTGGTGCATGTATGGAATGAGCTGCCAGAGGAAGTGGTAGAGGCTGGTACAATTACAACATTTAAAAGGCATCTAGATTGGTACATGAATAGGAAGGGTTTAGAAGAATATGGACCAAATGCTGGCAAATTGGACTAGATTTATATAAGATATCATAGACTATCACAGAATCTCTACAGTGTGGAAATAGGCCATTTGGCCCATCGAGTCCACACCGACCCTCCAAACAGCATCCCACCCAGATCCACCCCCGACCCGAGACACTATGGGCAATTTAGCATAGCCAATGCACCTAGCCTGCACATCTTTGGACTGTGGGAGGAAACCTACACAGACGTGTGGAGAATGTGCAAACTCCACACAGACAGTCACTCAAGGTGGAATCAAACCGGGGTCCCTGCTGCTGTGAAGCAGCAGGGCTAACTACTGAGCCACCATGCTGCCCAAAACGGTTGAGCCCCAGAAACTGGCAAATGTCTGGTTAGCATGGACGAGTTGGACCGAAGTGTCTATTTCCATGCTGTATATCTCTATGACTCTACGTAGCTGACGATAACTTTGTAAAGAAAGGCCCCAATTTATGAATATCCGACTTACAAAAACTTGTACGAATGGGATTCCATATTACTATCAATTTTAAGGATGCAACATGTGAACATTTGCTCATACTTACTAATGGACGTTTGGTACTGAATTGCGTTTCAACTTGTGTACAGATCAACTTATGGACATAATCAGGAACAGAACACATTAATAACCCAGGCCTCTCCTGTACAGCTACAGTATAACATCCATCCACAGTATTCTAGTCTTCCAGCTTTAAAAGCCAGCATTCCGTACCATTCTTGATTAATTTCTACAGCCATTCATGATTTTTTATATGAACTACAAAACCCTTCAGATCTCCAATGTTTCTCAGTTTGCATCATCTAGGAAGTACCCTAAAACTATCATTAGGGTATCTGCTTTGGACCCAAGAATGTTTGCTTATTTTAAATCTGTTTGTCACAACTTTTCACATGTAGTTAGTCTGTCAAGCAGCCATTCAGAGGTTCCAAATTCAGTAATGGCAATCTGTGATAATGTAGCTTTCTATATCTAATGTATCTAGTCTTTAGACATAATTCATTAATCAATACATGAAACAGTTGAGGCCACAACACACATCTTTACAAGTGTCACCCTGCCAATCAGAATATCTGTCAAGTCTGCTGTTTGTTTGGGTTCATTATGATGTTCCATGCAAGTTTCTTTCGATGCTTCCTCCTTGGAGCTCTTACTACCTGTTTAATCAAATTTGTTTTTGTTTTATATTGCTAGCAATGGACCTATGATAATGTTAGATGTTTTCAAAGTTGGCTTCTCATTTTTGCCTCAACTAAATAAGTTGAAACTAATCATCACTTTCACTTATTAACACTAAAGAAATTGAAACAAACTCATGTTGTAAGGAGAAGGCTTACAAAAAGAAAACTAATACTACATACTGCTCTGATTTATCACCATTACCTTCTCTCTCCATCCGAACACAAGACTGTGATGGGTCTTTTTCAGAGTTCTGGTTTGTGCTTATTTGATGATGTTGTGATCGTAAACCAGGTAAGCTGCAAGACGACATGGTTAAATCTAGACATAAAAGCACACAGGTAGTATTTAAAAGATTAACGATTCAAAATTACCAGTACATTTATAAAATAATAGAGATTTCCAAATAGAGATAGAATAAATAGCTATACCAAAAAGTAGAGATGGGAGTGGCTGAGGACAGAAGGTCCAAAAATTGGTGACCAAAAAGAAAAAGATGTCTAATTTTTTTTTGGACAAGGAATCATGTAACTTGAGCATTTTTTATGATCTACAGTGAAATGTAAATGCTTCTCAACCACTTAAAATGAGTGGAATCATTAGATTTAGAGTAGAAACATTAACGATGATTACTGTCAAGTATGTGGACCGATATATTTGTTTTAGCATTCAATCCAGTTGGTGAATGCAATACAGGATGAAATCCGTATGACCAACAGACAATAATCTTGCTGGATATGTTCTCAGAATCCCTACAGTATGGAAGCAGGCCATTCAGGCCCGCAAGTCTGCACTGACCCTCCAAAGAGCAGACCCCACCCACACACACACACACACACACCAGCACCCCCCAACACTCCCGCCAAAACCATGGATCCACTGCTTTTCATCATTTATATACATGATTTGGATGTGAACACAGGAGGTATGGTTAATATGTTTGCAGATGACACCAAAATTGGAATAGTAGTGAACAGCAAAGGAAGTTACTTCAGAGTACAACAGGATCTTGATCAGATGGGCCAAAGGGCTGAGGAGTGGCAGATGGAGTTTAATTTAGATAAATGTGAGGTACTGCATTTTGGAAAGGCAAATCAGGGCAGGACTTATACACTTAATGGTGAGGTCCTGGGGAGTGTTGCTAAACAAAAAGACGTTAGAGTGCTAGTTCATAGTTCCTTGAAAGTGGAGTCACAGGTAGATAGGATAGTGAAGGCGGCATTTGGTATGCTTGCCTTTATTGGTCAGTGCATTGAGTATTGGAGTTGGAAGGTCATGTTGCGGCTGCACAGGACATTAGTTAGGCCACTTTTGGCATACTGTGTTCAATTCTGCTCTCTCTGCTATTGGAAGCACGTTGTAAAACTTGAAAGGATTCAGAAAATATTTACAAGCATATTGCCAGTGTTGGAGGGATTGAGCAATAGGGAGAGGCTGAATAGACTGGGGCTATTTTCCATGGAACATTAAAGGCTGAGGGGTGACCTTACAGAAGTTTGTAAAATCATGAGGGGCATGGATAGGGTGGAAAGCCAAGGCCTTTTCCCCAGGGTGGGTGAGTCCAAAACTAGTTGGCATAGGTTTAAGGTGAGAGGGGAAATATTTAAAAGCGGCCTGAGGGGCATCGTTTTCACACAGAGGGTGGTGTGTGTCTGGAACGAGCTGCTACAGGAAGTGGTGGATGCTGGTACAATTACAACATTTAAAAGGCATCTGGATGGGTATACGAATAGGAAAGGTTTAGAGGGATATGGGCCAAGTGCTGGAAAATGGGACTAGATTAATTCAGGATATCAGGTCGGCATGGACAAGTTGGACAGAAGGGTCTGCTTCTGTGCTGTACAATTCTATGACTGTCAATCACCCTGGAATTACTATCTGAATCATCCACTTTTTCAAGACGGGATACAAGTTAGGCTTTTACTCAGTACTCAAATGAAGGAGAGGAAGCAGCTATGCCGAAATTTATACATTCAGGGTGGTAGTTAGATTGTCTGTTTTTTTGGAGATGGTCATTGCCTGACATTTGTATGGCATGAATGTTACTTGTCACTTTTCGGCCCAAGCCTAGATATTGTCTACATCTTGTTGAATTTGAACATGGACCACTTTAGTATCGGAGGAGGTACGAATAGTGCTGAACATTATGCAATCATTGGCGAACATCCCCACCTATGACTGAAGATGGTTGAACCTAGAACACTACCATGAGGAACTCCTGCAGAGATGTCCTAGAGCCGAGATGTCTGACTTCTGACAACCACCACCATTTTCCTATGTGCCAAGTATTTGAAGAAGAATAGACTTATTAGAGATAGTCAGCATGACTTTATGCTGGGGAGATCTTGTCTCACAAACTTGACTGAGTTTTTTGAGGAAGTTAACGAAGATAATTGATAAGGGTAGGACAGTGGAAGTTGTCCTCAAGGACTTTACTAAAGCATCTGACAAAGTCCCTCCTGGTAGTCTGGTCCAGAAGATAAATCACATGGCATCTATGGTGAGTTGGCAAGTTGAATACAAAATTGGTTTGGTCATAAAAGACAGAGGGTAGTTGTGGAGGAGTATTTTTCTGACTGTGACCAGTGATGTTCTGCAAGGATCAATGCTGGTACCTCTGTTACTTTATAAATATGTTTAAAAATGATTTGGATTGAAAATGTAGATAATCTGTTTGGTGCAGATGTGGATAGTGAGGAAGGTTATTAAAGGATACAGTATGACAGAAAAGTTGGACAGAGAAATGGAAGATGGAGTTTAATCTAAGTGATGTCATGCATTTTGAGAGGTCAAATGCAAAAAGGGAATTACACAGGAAATAGCAGGACCCTGAGGAGCACTGATGTATAGAGTCATCTTGGGGTGCAAGTCCATAGCACCCTAAAAGTGGCAAGACAAGCGGATAAGGTGGTAAAGGCGGCTTATGGCATGCTTACCTTCATTGGTCAGGGCACTGAGTTTAAAAGTTGGCAAGGCACGTTGCAGCTCATAAAACTTTAGTTAGGCCATATTTGGAGCTCTGTGTGCAATTCTGGTCACTACACTTTAGGAAGGATGTGGAAGCTTTGGAGAGCGTGCAAAAGAGGTTTACCAGGATTTTGCCTGGATTGGAGTGTATCAGCAAGGAGAGGTTGGACAAACTTGAATTGTTTTTGCTAGAGCATTGGAGGCCAAGGGGCGACTTGATAGAAGTGTATAAAATCAGAAGAGGAATGGATACGGTGCATAGTCAAAGTGTTTTTCCCACGGTAGAAATGTCAAATACTAGGGGGCATAGATTGAAGCTGTGAGGGGAAACGTGTAAAGGAGCTGTGCGAGCAAAGTTTTTTTTTAAAACAGAGAGTGGTCGGTGCCTCAAATACACTGGTAGGAGAGGTGAGTGAAGCAGATACAATAGAAACATTTAAGAGGCATTTAGACAGACACCTGAACAGGCAGGGAATAGAGGGATATGGACTATGTGCAGGCAGATGGGATTAGTTTAGAATGACATATTGGTTGGCACAGACACAGTGAGCCAAAATGCTTATTCCTGTGTCCTACTGTTCTATGTTCTATGACTCCAATCAAAGGCGAGATTTCCCCCAAGTCACTCTAACTTCAGTTTTGCTAGGGTTCCTGGATGCCACACTTGTTTCAATGTGGCTTCAATGTCAAGGGCTGTCACTCTCACCTCTGGAATTCGGCTTTTTTTTTGTCCATGTTTAAGCTAAGGCTGTAATGTGGTCAGGAGCTGAGTGGCTGTGCTGGAACTGAAACTGAAACTAAGCATCAGTAGCAGGTTATTGTTAAGCAGGTGCTGCTTAATAGCACTGTTGATAACACCTTCTATCACTTTACTGATGATGGAGAGTAGACCGATGGGGTGGTAATTAGCTGGGTTGGATTTGTCCTGCTTTATGTATGCAGGACATTTCTGGGCAATTTTTCCACAGTGTCTGGTAGATATCAGTGTTTAGCCGTACTGGAATAGCTTGGCTAGGGGTGCAGCAAATTCTAGAGCGCAAGTCTTCAGTACTTTTGCAAGAATGTTGTCAGGGCCCATAACCTTTAAACTATCCAGTGCCTCCAACCGTTCCTTGATATCGCATGGAGTGAATTGGGGCAACACAGTGGTCAGCACTGCTGCATCACAGCACCAGGGACATGGGTTTGATTCCTGCCTTGGGCAACTGTGTGTGGAGTTTGCGCACTCTCCCTGTGTCTGTGGGGGTTTCCTGTGGGTGCTCCAGTTTCCCCTCTCAGTCCGAAGATGTGCAGGTTAGGTGGATTGGTTATGCTAAATTGGGTGGGAAATGCAGGGATAAGGTAGGGGGTGGGTCTGGCTGGGATAGTCTGAGGAGGGTTGGTGTGGACTTTATGGGCTGAATGGCCTGTTTCCACACTGTAGGGATGTTACGGATTAGGAGACTGGCATCTGTGATATCAGGGATCTCTGGCGGAGGCTGAAGATTGTTGCAAATGCTTTAGCTTTTCCTTTTGCACTGATGCCTTTTCCACATTAAGAAGACTCCTCCACCTGTCAGTTATTTAATTTCCCACAACCATTCACGACTGAATGAGGCAGGACTGCAGAGCTTCAATCTGATCTGTTGGTTGTGGGATCACTTAGCTCTGTTTATCACTTACTGCTGATACTGTTTGGAATGCAAGTAGTTCTGTTCTGTAGTTTCACCAGGCTGACACCTCATTTTTAGGTGGGTTTGGTGCTGCTCCTGGCATGTCCTCCTGCATTCTTCATTGAACCAGTGTTGATCCTGGCTTGAGGCTAATGATTGAGTGGGGGATATGTCAGGCCATGAGATTGTGGATTGTGTTGCAGTGTGAATCTGCGGCTGTTGATGGCCCACAGTGCCTCATGGATGCCCAGTCTTGAGTTGCTGCAACAGTTTCAAGTCTGTCCTGTTTAGCGCAGTGATAGTGCCACACTACACGATGTAAGGAATAAGTAATGTGAAGGCAGGAAGTACTTAGAAATTCATGATGAAATAAAGCTAAGTCAGTACAGCTTCATCAAGGGAAGGTCATAACTGACAAATCGTTAGAATTCTTTGAGGTGGTAACAGGCAAGTCAAACAAAGGAGGACGTAATCTGATATTTTCTGATGAAGGGTCTAGGCCCGAAACATCAGCCTTCCTGCTCCGATGATGCTGCTTGGCCTGCTGTGTTCATCCAGCTCTACACCTTGTTATCTCAGATTCTCCAGCATCTGCAGTTCCTGCTATCTCTGAGGACGTAATCTATTTGGATTTCCGAAAGGCCTTTGATAAGGTGCCCCACAGGAGGCTGCTAAATAAGATAAGAGCCCATGGTATTAGAGCCAAGGCACTGGCATTGATAAGAGGATTGACCGACTGGCAGAAGGCAGAGACTGAGGATAAACAGGGTTTTTTTTCCAAGATGGCAGCCGGTGACTAATGGAATTTGGCAGGGGTCAATATTGGGACCACAACTATTCACATTGTACATTAACAATCTGGATGAAGGAAATGGGAGGCTAAGTTTGCAGAAAACACAAAGATAGGTGGAGTGACAGGTGGTTTTGGGGAGGAGGGGAGGCTGCAAAAGGACTTGGACAGGCTGGGAGAGTGGGCACAGAAGTGGCAGATGGAATACAATGTGGGAAAGCGTGAGAATATACACTTTGATAGGAAGAATAATGGCGTGGACTATTTTCCAAATGGGGGAAAGGCTTCAGAAATCTGAAGCACAAAGGGATTTTGGAAAAGGATTCTTAAGATTAACATGCGGGTTCAGTTAGGAAGGCAAATGCAATGTTAGCATTTATTTCAAGAAGGCTAGAATCCAAAAGCAGAGATGTACTGCTGAGGCTATATAAAGCTCTCATCAGACTGCATTTGGAACATTGCGAGCTATTCTGGGTCCCGCATCTAAGAAAGGATGTACTGGCCTTGGCGTGGGGTAAAGAGGAGATTCACAAGAATGATCCCGGGAATGAATGCTTGTCATACAAGGTGCAACTCAGTTCTCTGGGTCTCTACATGATGGCTTTTGGAAGTGAGTGAGAGTATGAGGGAATGTGCATACTGAAAGGCCTGGATAGAGTACATGTGGAGGATAGGTTCCCAGTAGTACAAGAGGACTCAAGGGCATAGCCTCTGGGTACAGGCAAGACCTTTCGATTGAGAGGAGGAGGAATTTCTTCAGCCAGATGGCGATGAATCTCACTGCCACAGAAGGCTGTGGAAGTCAAGTCACAGAGTGTCTTTAAGACAGAGATATTTAGATTCTTGATTACTAAGGGGATGAAAGGTTACAGGGAGAAGACAGGAGAATGGGGTTGAAAAATGTACCAGCCACGATGGAATGGCAGAGCAGGCTCAATGGGCCAAATGGCTTAATTGTGCTCCTATACCTATGGTCTTGTGGTACATGGTAATCAATAAGAGGTTTTCTTACCCATGTGCCTTCATGGGGTCTGGAGTCAACATTGAGGACTCCCAGAAAAAACAATCCTGATTGGTATACCAGTGTGCCACTACCTCTCCTGGGCCCATCCTGCCACTGGAACAGGACATATGTCTGGGACATTGTAAAGTATGATTCTGTAATTATGATGAGGTCAAGCTCTGAGACACAGCTCTCCCAGTTTTGGCTCTAGACCCCAGATCTAGTACGGAGGACTCTGTGGAGTTCACAGATCTGTTTCTGCCATTGTTGTTTCTGGTGTCCAGGTCGATCCCATGTGGTACATCCAGTTTCACTTCCTTTTTGAGACGTTATAGCAGCTGTCACAACTAAATGACTTGCATAGCCATTTCAGAGGATGGTTAAGAGTCAACCACATTGCTGTGACAGAAACCAGGCAAGGACGGCAGTTTTATCCCCATGTAGGTTCATGATCAACATGTGACTCAATTTCAGATTTGTTAATGAATTCAAAATCAAATCTCCAGAATTTTACCAGAGTTTCTGGATTAATAGTTTAGTGATAATACCGCTACACCATTGTTATAGTTGAGGGGAGACAGTCATCAGCGAGAAGTCATTAAATCACCATGTGCATGCAGGAGATTCTTGCCCAGCATGTCACATTGCGAGGAGAAGCAAGAAGCAAGACAATCTTTCCAAATTGATCATACCATGCCTGCCACAGAGCAGATGAAGAAATCAACACAAAATTTAAAATTCAATCTGAGTGACTATTTTAACAACAAAATATAGTAGGAATAGATTGTATCAACAAACTTACTGGTTTTTAAGACAGCGACTTTCAGAATATGATAGTCATAATGTTCGATGTACTAACCTGTATTTGAAGCAGAACGCTTGCCTCTCAAACTGCGATAGTTAGAAACTTCCAATGATTGCGTTAAATCAAGGTCATGAAGAATTAGAAGATAACCAGATGATGTTGATATTAGCATCTTTGAACAGTCTGGTGTTAAACGCATTCGCATCAGGTAGCGGGTGTGGAAAAATTTCTTATGTGGACAGCCTTCCTCTGTACATCTGTTTCACAAAAATTTGATAGTAAGTACTATAACCATAGACATAGAAACACAGAAATTAGAAGCCGGAACAGGCAAATGCCCCTTAACTCTGCTCCACCACCCAACATGATCATGCTGATCCTCTATCTCAATGCTGCATTCTGCTTTCTCCCCAAATCTTTTCAGGCCTTTATAAATATATCTATTTCTTTCTTGAAAATATTCAGTGACTTGGCCTCCACAGTCTTCTGTGATAGAGAAGTCCATGAGTTCGCTGTCCTTTGAGTGAAGAAATATCTCCTCATGTCAATCCTAAATGGTCTATCCTATATCCGGAGACTGTGACTGCTGGTTATAAAAAGCAGGGAAACATCCTGTCTGCATCTGATGTGTAGCTCTTTTTGAATTTAATAAGTTTTAATCACATCCCCACTCATCCTTCTGAACTTCAGAACCAATCTCTCCTCATCAGCCTCTGCAATACAATGAGTGGGCTATGATCAGTCTGTTGACATCACCATCAACAGTCCAGGGGAAAACGGCTAATGCAGTCTCGGAGACTTACAGAAAGCAGTCAGGGGTCTGGGCACATTGGTCAGGGGGTAGGTCACGGTAAGTCCCTTAGGTCGGACTTCAGAAATTAAGGGGAAAGAAGGTTGTTTGGGGGGGGGTGATGAAATAGCAGCAGGAGCCTCAGCATTTTAGCTTTCAGAACTGAGAGCTGCAGGCTCTGGACAAGGGTGCAATACAATTACGAAGCGGGTGGGCAAAACTGTACAAGATGACTTGGAAGAGTGTAACAGGAAAGGATGTTGGTGGTTGGGGCTTGTACATGCTCAAATGGCACTTGGCATCAAGAGTGGGCATGGGGTAAAAGATGAATTACAACACCGAGCATGGCCGCCTCCTCATACGGCTGCATGAGTGGGAAAGGTAGAACCAGTGGAGATTAATGTAGATGGGCTGGGTAGGGACGTGCGGAAGTGTGAATCCTATGGGTTTGAAGGGGTGGGCGACACAGGCTCATCGACAAGGTCAGCTGAGGCTGAGAACTGCTGGAGGAGGAATGCTCACTGTTGCCATCCATCATGCTGGAAATAGAAAGTGTGCAATGGGAAGAAAATGGCCGTGACCACACTCTGAATAGACAGGGCAAATGACAACCTGTAAGGGAGGGGTCTGCAGCACACTGTTCAGAGGGGTTTTAAAGGGCAACAACATAGGTTATATGCCCCAAAAGTCCAGCACAAAGTCCTGTAGGACAAGCACTTGTGGTCACTCTGCACCATTGACCTTCTCTGAAAGTAGCACCTCCCTTCCACAACCACTGCTGGACAACTCTTCAGCAGCTACAACATTATGCATAGAAGGATCATTATCATGAAGGCCAAAGGTACCAGCAGCACAATGCGTACACATTGTTCCTGCCAACTGTAGCTGATATCGGCAGTGAAGCCTATTATTTGACCATGAACTGCTGCTAAATGGCGTGCCCTGATAATGCCCCAAGGTAGCCTTCTTCATTGTGGCACCAAAATGTGCTTAATAAGTTTTCCTCTTTTCCCCTCCCCCTACAGCCAAGTGCACTCCCTGATTCCGCAGCTGGGGTGGAAGGAGCTAGCTCTGATGTAGAGGCTGCTCACCCCGGAGTTTTGACCGGGTAATCCTGGGGTTGCTTTTGTCTACATGGGTGAGACACGCAGAGAGTCGCAAGTTAACTTTCCTCAGCTTGAACTTCCAAGGGTCAGAGAGGGAGAGGCAAGGTGGAGGTGGAAGGCCCAGCCTGAGGAGAAACTGCAGAGGGGCTCATGTGTAGTTCCTCCTCTAGCAGCACGCCTCCCGGCACTGCCCTGTGTCTTTGAGGTTCCATTAAAATTCACTAATATCATAAAGCTTATGTGATGACATAGAAATGGATGGTTTCAGAGACAGAACATAGAACAGTACAGCACAGTACAGGCCCTTCGGCCCACAATGTTGTGCCGAACTTTTACCCTAATCTTAAGGTGCATCTAACCTCCACCCCTACCTTATACTGTCATCCATATGCCTATCTAATAGCCGCTTAAATGCCCCTAATGAGGCTGACTCCACTACACTCTCCGGCAATCCATTCCACGCCCCAACCATGCTTTAGAACAAATAAGATAGTGGTTTCAAAAATGGCAAATGGATTAAACATACATAAATTTAACAATGTACCTAGGAACAAGAAATGTCAACCATGTGTACATGATTTAGTAAAGTAGTAAAAGATTAGCGAAGGATAGAACAGGGCCCTAAGGAACAAGTGGGGTAAATTGTTCACTGAAGCAAACGTATGGCAGAGGTCCAACATGGATACCTTGCTTCTATCTTGACCGAATCTCAACGTGGTGATAATGGCCTAGTTGAAACCGTGGGTGTTGAGCAACTGAGCAGTATAATGATAAATAAAGACAAGGTGCAAAAAAAAAAAAAAAAGGCTGGCAACATTCCAGATAGAGAAGTCGCATTGCCCGGATGGGACGCATCCAAGATTGTTAAGAAAGTTAAGGGAGCAAATCATGGAGCCGTTACAGAAAGTTTCCACGTCTCTCTGAACACACGATTAGTTCCAGGAGACTGGAGGATTGCAAATATTATTTAAAAAAGGAACAAAGGATAATCCTGGAAGCTACAGACCTGTCAGCTTGACATCAATAGTGGGAAAATTGATGGATGCCATAATATCAGATAAGATAAATATACACAGAGAAAAAGAAGTTGATACTAGACGGTTAACATGGCTTTGTCAAGGGCAGATCCCATCTGACAATTTGAGTTTTTCGAGGTGGTGACACAGGTGGATGAGGGAAGTGCCGTGGATGTTGCATATTTGGACTTTCAGAAAACATCTGAGAGTGCCACATAATAGCTTGGTTAGCAAATTGGAATGTTTGGGATTGATGGGTCTTTGGCTGCATGGAGTAGAAGTTAGCTAAAAGAGAGGAAAGAGGACAGGTATAGATGGGGATTTCTCAGATTGGAGACAAGTTGAAAGTGGCATTCCCCAGGCACACTTGTTTTTTTGGATTTATATAACTCATGTAGAGTTGGGTGTTGAGGGCAAAATCTCTTAAATTTGTAGATAACGTTAAGCTAGGGAGAATAGTGATGATGACGCTGAGTGGCTTCAAAGGGACACTGACAAGTTGGTCAAATGGGCAGACACCTGGAAGATTAATTTCAATGCAGAGAAATGAGAGGTGATGCATTTTGGTAGAAGAAACAGAAAGACAATACTGGCTCAATGGTACAACTTTGAAGGGAGTACAGGAGTTGAAGGATCCTGAGATTCACGCGCATTATTCTCAGAAGATGGCCAGAGAAGTTGAATCAATTGTTAAGAAGGCTTATAGGATCCTTGGGCTTATAAACAGAGGCACAGACTCCACATTTGGAGTACTGTGTTCAGTTCTGAGCAGCTTACTTAAGGATGGATGTTAATGGCCTGGACTGAATGTGAAGATGATTTACTAGATTGATATCAAGAACAAGGGAATTTAGATACAAGGAAAGACTGGAGAAATTGGGCTTATTCTTGGAGCAGAGAAGATTAAGATGGTCACCTTATTGAGGTGTTCAAAATTATTAATTTTGACAAAGTAAAGAAGGATATCCTGTTTCCACTGGTTGGTATGTCAGTAACTAGGGGTCACAACTTCAGGATTGTCAGCAAGAGAGCTAGAAGTGAGAAATTTCTTTATTCAGTTGTTAGGATTTGGAATGTGCTGCCTGGGAGAAGAGTGTAGATGGATTCCATAGGAGGTTTCAAAAGCGAGCTGGATATGTATTTGGAAGGGATGAGAGGGCTACGGAGAAAGGTCTGGCGAATGGGATTAGCTATGTAGCTTTCTCAGGAGACTGTACAGACACGATAGGTCAAATGGCCTCCTTCTGCAATGTAAAATTCTGTGACTCTAGACCTTTACTTTCTAACAAAAATTGGACAAGTGGAAGAAAATATGAAGCTAAGGGAAGAAGGTGGGACAATGGTAAGTAGGATTCGCTTTGAAATGTTTGAACAAAAAGGTAGGAGGTGAAATGGCCTCCTTATTTCCTTTCATTTAGATGGAAATGAAACTTTCGTTTATATACCATCTGAGAGAACCTCGGGTTGTTTCAAACTGTTTTGCAACTACTTGTGTAATCACCTCTTACAATGAAGGGAAGCATGGCAGCTAATTTCCATGCTGTAATCTCTCTCAAACAGAGGAAAGATCATTGCTTCAGTAATGCTTGAGAGAGGACTGATTTTCTTCAAAACAAAAGCCACAGATTTTTTTTTTAAATCACCTTTGAAACTAGACAGGGCCTCAATCCAACATTTAAAAAAAAAAGCTGGAGAAACTCAGCAGGTCTGGTTGTATCTGTGGCCAGAGAAACATCTCAATTTCAATACAACTCTTCTTCAGAACTCTAGCATCCACAAGATTTTGCTGCAAATGAGCACCCAATCTGAAAGGCAGCACCTCTATCAATCTGTAATCCCTTAATTCTGTACTGGGTGTTAGCCTCGATAATGTGTTTGAGTCCCTAGAGTGGGATTTGAGCACAGATCCTTCTTGCTCAGGGTTCTGTATCTGAGCCACAGCCTTATCTTTGACAATGGCTAGATATTTGGACATGTTGCAGTGCAGATGCTGTGCCCTTGCTCATCTGGAATTTGCTGGCCAGATGTTGAGATGACTGTTTTATCATTGACTTGCTGGTTCTGTTCAGTCTTTATCTGCAGCTACATGATATTGGCTCCTTTGTTTGGTTACCTGGGTGATCGATACAACCGGAAGATCCTCATGTCCATTGGAATACTCGTTTGGTGTGCTGTGACACTGGCAGGATCCTTCGTCACGAAGTCTGTATGCCAACTTAGCTTTATTTTAATGAATTACTCGTCAAGGTTTGAGACAGTGAATGAAATCCTTTTGTATTAAACTTTTTGTAAATCCTATGTGCAATTACCTACCATCACTCTCAACCAGTTTTTGCTTTAGAAACTGGATGCTATAAATTTGATTTGATTTATTATTGTCACGAGGAGGGGAGTAGCGAAAGTAATTATTGGACCGTTGGAGGTAAAAACAGGAAAAATTATCACGGTGAAGGAGGAAATGAC